AACTTAAAGAACTGAATGGATATCTAAAATCATGGGAACCACCAAAGTTAAACCAAGAAGAGATCAACAGTTTAAACTGACCCATAACATATGAGGAAATTGAAACAGTAATACAAAGCTTCCCAACTAGAAAAAGCCCAGGCCCAGATGGATTTACAGCAGAATTCTACCAGACATTTAAAGGAGAGCTCTAACCAATACTACTTAAATTATTCAAAAAGATTGAAACAGAGGGAGAACACCTAAAGTCCTTCTATGAATCCAGCATCACTCTAATACCCAAATTGGGTAAAGACAAAACCAAAAAAGAAAACTATAGACCCATATCCTTAGTGAACAGAGAGGCAAAAATTCTCAACAAAATACTTGCAAACTGTATATAGCACATATCAACAAGGTCATTCACCATGATCAAGCAGGCTTCATCCCAGAGATGCAGGAATTGTTGAATATAGGCAAGTCAATAAACATCACTAATCATATAAATGGACTCAAACACAAAAACCACACTGTCATTTCAATAGATGCAGAAAAGGCTTTTGACAAAATTCAGCATGCATTTATGTTCAAAGTCCTAGAGGGAATTGGAGTGGAGGGAACACACATCAACTTAATTAAAGCTATATAAAACAAACCCACAGCCAACATCATTCTAAATGGAGAAAAACTGAAAGCATTCCCATTAAAATCAGGAACCAGACAAGGATGTCCACTATCTCCACTCCTTTTCAACATAGTGCTTGAAACTCTTGCTAGAGCAGTAAGACAGGAGAAGGAAATTAAAGGAGTACTAATTGGAAAAGACGAGGTCAAACTATCACTTTTTGCAGATGATACTATACTTAAGAGATTCCAAAAGTTACACCAGAAATGTCTTAGAACTGATCAACACTTTCAGTATAGTGGGAGCTTAAAAAATCAATCTACAAAAATCAGTATATACCGATAATAAGCATTTGGAGAAAGAATACAGGGAAAGGCTCCCATTCACAATAACAGCAAAATAAATAAATAAATAAAATATCTTGGAATAAATTTGACCAAAGACACCAAAGTTCTCTACAGTGAGAATTTTATATTGTTAAAGAAAGAGATTAAGGAAGATACCAGGAGATGGAAGGACCACCCATGCTCATGGATTGGAAGAGTTAATATTGTGAAAATGACCATCCTACCAAAAGCAATATATAGATTCAGTGCAATGCCAATCAAAATCCCCATGACACACTTCACAGAATTAGAAAAAAAAAAATCATCATTAAATTCATATGGAAGCTCAAAAGACCCTGGATAGCCAAAGCAACTCCGAGCACCAAGAGCAACAAATGGGGGATTACTATACCAGATCTCAAAATATAATACAGAGCTATAGTCTTAAAAATAGGATGGTACTGGCACAAAA